CTGATTTGTACAAATATAGGACTATAGACGATCTCGGTCGGTGAATTGTTGATGAATTCTGACTCCTGACTTAAGGTATCCACAAGAGAGACCACCTTTACTCTGTTTGTGGGACATTCAACCGAATTTCTCTTGTAACGGATAAGTAGAAAACTATAAATATGAGTATACTACTGATAAGCAGAGGAACTTTTGCTGTACATGCTTCTATTTGACGAGGCACCACTTCGCCTGCTTTTTGTTACACTCTTCTTCACCAGTGAAAGTGATTGCCAGGTGTACATTATTGCTTCGTTGTAGGAGTTTTTCTTTACTGCTGTTCTGATTTACAATAATCAATATGTCATCGATTTAGTGGTAATACAGATCAAGCTTCTTAACAGCCTCACTCAGGAAGCACCATTGAAATGAAGTATGCAGTTTCACTGGATGCAGAATTATTCACTAATATGCAATTCAAAAGTGTTTAATTATCGATTGTAAATATCTGTGTTTATTTTCAGATAATTGTTTGGTGATTAATGCAAATAATCAAAACTGTTCTATCATTTATTGTGATTAGTTAGGGAGTATGATGAAATGGCATTTTATCAAGAGGTTTATGTACTCTTTCTGTGCTACATCTTCCAAACTCTGCATAAAAAAGTCAAGCTAAGTCAAGTCGGATACAGAAATATCATGACAGGAGAGGATGCCTTATTTATCATCTAATTAGATAGTTATTTACAATGTCATCAGATCTACTGGTTGATTGAATAAAGTCATTTGCATGTTGGCTGTAAAGATAAAGTTTCATGTGATCAACTATGGTTAATGCCTACTTTCTTCATTTACTTACGCCTGTTACCATCAATGGAGCATAGACTACCGACCAGTATTCTCCAACCGACTCTGCCCTGTCATTCCTTTCCAGTTCTGTCTAATCTAGGTTCATTCTGCTCATTTTTGTCTCGATTTCTCATAGTAAGGTGTTCCTTGGCATTCCTGCTGTTTTGCTTGGACCTTGTGGGTTTCAAGAGAGGGCTTGTGTTGTGACCCAGTTGTGTGCTATCTTCAATGTGTGTCTTATCCACCACTTACAGCGCCTCTTCCTGATTTCCTCCTCCACTGGAATCTTGTTTGTTCTCTCTCACAGAAGGTTGTTGCTGATAGTGTCTGGCCAATGGGTCGGAAGTATTTTGCGCTTACAACTGTAAGTAAACACTTGTATCTTCTGGATGATGGCTTTAGTGTTTCTACAAGTTTCCGCTGCATACAGTATAACTGTCTTGACGTTTGTATTGAAAATGCTGATTTTGGTGTTGATTGATATTTGTTTGAAGTTGCAGATATTGTCCTTGCTTTGCCGATCCGCGATCTCATATCTGCATCGGATCCAACTTGAATGTCAATAATACTGCCCATATATGTGAAGGTATTTACGTCCTCCAAAGCATCTGCATCTTGTGTAATTTGGTTGATGCATGTTGTGTTGTATGGGGGAATCTTGCTTTTCCGTTTGTGTATGTTGAGATCTGCTGCTGCTGCTACTGCTTAGATGGATGCTACACTGGTCTTCTTCTCTTACATTTGTTGTTGCGTGTGTGATGGATGCAGAAACAGTAGATATGTGTAATGAGTGACGTAGGGTAGTAGAGTTAGGTAGGTTCATAAACAGAATCATCTTGATTAAAATATATATGAAATATATTTACAGAGTGAATCTGAGTGAATCTATCATGAGTTAGATTTTACTTAAAGCATGTTGCATTGATTCCTTGATATCATCAATTAACTGGCATTATTTGTCCCGTTTACCTAACTATTCACTCTGAAGAATATGAAAAATATGAAAATGTGTGGCAACAAATGCACGTCAGTAGAACAAACTGTCAGATGGAAGGGAACTACACAGTTTGTTTAGCGAATGACAATCGGAAATAAACGTTGTTCTATTTTTGTACAAATCAGTTAATAATGTACTGAAAACTAATTCCTTCACTGTACACTCCATTTGAACCACATGACCATTATTGTGTAAAGAATACAAATTCAAAATCAAATGAATTTACTCACGATTAGTGTAATGAATAATTTCAGCGACAATCGACCAAACACATCATCAGTGTGTTAGTTCATTGTAAAAGCTAGGGACGGCCAGATCGAAACATGGCACAAATCCATGAAGTCACTGACAAGTGGACTGAGACAATCATTGACACAAACATATAAGAGTTGGCGTGAAATGAAACCAGTAATTAAAAATTGAATATTGAAAGGTATCATTTTATCTATTCAAACTTCAATGTTCAAAACACACATTGATCATATTGATGCATTGATTATTCTATGGATTAGCAAATATATTCATTGAATTCTCATGAATCAATTTCAATTTCTGAATCATGAAATAGACAGACGAATTGTCGTCTTTCACATGAAAATCGTTTCTTGATATTAGGATAATTTAATTGAAAAAAAATAATGATCTATTTCGAAACAAATTGCAAACTATGTCTTATCATATTGGATTTTTATGTGATGACATACATCGATCATAGGTTTCTACATTCAGGCTAAATAATGTGGAATAAAAAAGGGAACCAACAGAGTTGTTACATAATGTGTATTAACTCTTTGTTTTCTAATCAACGACAATTTTGTTGTAAACAATTTCTTATCAGTGTAAAAACATGAAAGGTGAGGCCCTTGTGTGTTTGCTTATTGGTCATCTTACAAAATTTCATCACGAATTGGTCCAGATTTTTAGTTCTACACTCAGACAGAATATCTGATGCTACTCATTAATGACAACAGATCATTCTTACAGTAAGTTTCTAGTCGAGATTATATTCAACACTTATTAAGGCTTTAGGAAAATCTCTTCATTCACAATACATATAGATGGGATTTATTTCATCTGACTATTCAAAATCTCTACAGTGATTTGTTCACATCAACTATCTCATTGGAAGTTGAGCGGAAAAATTGTTCATCAATTCTTCTCACATTATGCGCATTTTTCCCTTAGATGAATATAACCCAAAATACGGTCATTGTAACTGCTCCACAGCAATGTAATGAAAAATCTCATCTTTCAGAGTTTCCGTGATTTTAAGTCAATAAGAAATATCGTGAAGCAAAAAGATATAAATGAATTTGCTGATCATAGAAAGATTGAAAAAGCGAAAAAAATATCGATCCTATAATCAGATGCAAAGTTCACATTTTCTGTCCATCGATCTCACTATTCAAATGATTCACGGTTATCACAGTATGTTTACCACAAACTGGCTAACTGTGTGTGCATGATTAGATCAGTTTGAATCTGATTATGTGGTTGTGTCAATGTATGTATGTGCACAATATCATATATTGTGTGCATTGAGTATTTTGTTAATGACAGTGTACTATTGTAGAAATGTTTGATAGTGCGAAGAAATGAAATTGCGTAGTGTGACTACGTGGAAGGAGTAGTTAATGAATTATGAAATAATAGTTACTATAAAGTAATATCACAATGCGTAACAATTTGAATTTGAGGCGCGCTTTCTGACTGTATGCAAGTCACTTCTTCAGAGTAAATACATAGATAACTCACAGAAATAATGCTTTAGATGAAAATTAAAATCGTGATAGGTTTCATCCTGTTTTCAATAAACCTTATCAATTATTAAACTACAATTATTATAGCTAATTACTTGAGAACATTCGAAGCAAATGAAACTTTGCATATTTTAGCAAACATTTTTATAGCAAACTGCAAAAACTGGAAAAATTTAAGCCAACTATGTTCGGTAACCGACACAATATCTGCTGACACATCAATTGCCTCAATTTCTCTAATCGTGTAAAATACTAACCAATGTCACGTATACGAATGTCAATATAATGTTATAGAACTTATTAAAAGTAGTATACTAAATCACTCCCAATGTTGACTGTCCTATGGAGATAGTCCACTAACCATTTTCAATATTATAGTTAACCGTACTACTTAGGGAGAAGCGGTTGACTTCAGTAGCATCTACCGCACTGATGAATGCTCGAAAACTGTTCCCACCTGGTTACGAACATGCCGAAGAGCGAATTCAGCTAAGACTCAGGCTGATAAAAAGCACACGCAATGATCGCGAACAGGGGTGGGTAGCGAAAGCGAGAGAGATTGAAAAGGCAGTGATGATAGTTAACAGTAGACAACTGTCCCGCCTAATGAAGGAAGCCGGTATTAGAAATCTATCTGAGAAAGATGGTACTGTTATTCATTCTCAACTCAGGAGATTGGATCGATGGGCATAACACAGGCATCAATTGAACTGGCCTTCAGCCAAACTTCGGTTGTCAAATCGATGTTTGTCCTCCAACTCTTTATGAAGTGGAAAAAGTTATAGGAAGTATAAACGAAGGGGGCAGCGGGTCGTGATATATTGACCCCTGAGATTTGTAAGGATGGTGGACCAGTTTTGGCTGTAATATTGACTGAGATCTTAGGTAGAATCTGGGAACTAGGCGTAATTCCATCTGACTAGTCTTAATCGGTGATCGTCTTAATTTATACGAAAGGATAAAAGACCTCTTGTGACAATCACAGAGAACTCAGTCTAACTAATAAAGTATCTGAAATACTGGCCGTAACAATACTCCGGCACTTAACGAAAGTTCGTGAAGAGCAGACTAGAGAACACCAGAATGGTTTTCCACCTGGACGTGGATGTATAGACCACCTTTCCACTCTAATTCAGGTCCTAGAACAAAGACACACATCCAAACATCTCACAGTAGTTAGTAATTCTCGACCTAGAAATGGCATTCGACTCTGTTGATCGTGAGGTTGTGTGGCAGTGCCTGTCAATAAAAGCTGTACCGAAGAATCTATTTTAATCGTATACCATGCTCACAGGTCTATAGTTAGAGCTGTTAAGGATGTTTACTTTCTCCAATTTTGTTTAATTTTTTTTTGTCATAAATCTGACTCTAGATATAACATTATTTTCATCTGAATATGATGTTTTTTTGTACAGATTCTGAATTACACTTGTATAGTAATGTAATCAAAAAAGACCACAATTTATCTTCTATGAAGTCATGTGATATCGTGTCAACAGTTTCAATTGTACTTGATGAAAGTGAACCAAATGAGTAAGTCTTATTCAAATAAACAAAAATAAAATAAGGATTTGGAGTTCTTGTCATATATTGTACTTATATATATCTTCAAATGTCCTAATTTTTCAACTCTATTCTAGATAATTTGATCAATACTGTTTAAACTTTGATATGATGTAAATGATATTGTTAATCATAAACGCGCATTTCATCCTATATTAGGATCCATCCATTGGATCAACCACAGCGGATCTCAGAGTTGATCCCGACATTCAGCACTCAAATCTATTATTGTGTTCGCGTTATGCATATAGCCGCGCTCACTTGTGCAACAGGTATATGAGCTGACCTGATTAGTTGGGAATGCACGCCATGGATTTCACTGCTAGTAACATTCTATCTGTTTAATCATATTTCAGTTGAAATAACAACATTAGACCAATTGCAGTCTTTTATAATGATGTGGTGCGAGCTACTTATAAGTAGTATATGACGTGTGTCAACGTAATGTCTGGCAGCAGAAGATGGGGGAAGATCAAGAAAGGAAGAGTTAGAAGACAACGGAATTTGTATGAAACGCATGAATAGTGACAATGGATTGATGTTTTGCAACAGGAACAGTCCAGTTCGATATGATGGACTGATATTTTGCAAATGAACGATTTACGATATGGTTTTCCTATTTTACTGAGTAACTCTGTAATTTTCGTTAAATACAATCCGCTTGCCCCAACTATGTTCTCCTTCACTACAATGATACTGCTTCACCATACTGACAGATTTTGATAATTGATGATCGCTTATAATTTTTATAATTCACCGCTATTACTTTTAAATATACTACAATGATACAGTTGATTCTACTCACGCAATGCGTTTCATTATGTAGTTCGTATATCTGAAGTGTGCAATCCAGTAATGACAAAACTATATTGAAACCGGGAAGCACTGGACCGTCGTTTCGTCTTGGTATGGGACTGACTCAGTGCGCAGTGCGCATCCACGACTCCTGCTCCTCACAGGATCCGAACCCAGTGCCTTCGGTATTGTACGCAAACGCATAACCATTGGACCACTGGGCTGGCATCCTACGGTGTTCGTGTCTAACTCTCATTGATCTAGGGATTTTGCGCGACCTCACCCATTTGTCTCTGGTAGATACTGCCTACATTCGACAGGGTTGAACTCCATTGGTCACGTCTTCTCAACTAGAACTCCGAGAATTTTCTCACGAAGCTAGTCACTAGTGAGCACTGTTACAATATTTCGGGGCAGAATTTTTCAAATGTGTAAAATCACAAACCTCCAAAACTATGTTTTGTAGATATGAGTTCGTCGTTTTGTGAAAATTAATATTTATGACTGTAATTGATGAGCCTCGGTTTTATGATTTGTATCTCTAGTGATTGGTCTAATAGCATTATGCTATCAGTATTGTAGGATCCAAACTGATGTTTGGACTGAGGAATAACTGTCTAGGTAGTTTAGATACGCGCCTTGCCCAGCTTCAAACCAAAACAAGTGATTTGGGTAAATGACGGTTTTAATATTCATCATTGATATAAATATACATCATTACCTAAACAAATATTACCGCTCAGTTATTCCACCAACAATTGTTCAATTAATCAAATCAACAGAAACACATAACTGATATTCTATCCCTCATTGATAAATCGATTTCGTTCGACAGATAATATTTGGTTACTTTATAATACAGAGAGTGCTTGTTTTTCTGGAAGAGTGCTCCAATTCACAATCAAAGTGCACAATTCCAGTCAGTGCAACCGACCCAATCAAAAGAGGAACAAATCAATATGGCTGTCGCCATGACTAAGTATCAGCTTAAACAACATAAATGCAGTTCAGAAGGAAATGTAGAAACTATAATAAAATGCAAATATTATCATCTCAAAATGGAATTGAACAGACTACACAAAATGTACAACTGAAAGAATGAATAAGGACAAGTTACAAATGTTTACATACAGGGATTTTCACAAACGAAACCTTCACAAAGTGGATCTTACAGTATATTACATCAGTCATGTACATGGGCATTGCCATTCAAGCAAATTGATTGCATCTGATCGATAAGTGCGAATGATATTTTCATGATTTATTTAGGTGCAGGTATTCCATCAGCGTCTGAACTCTATGAATATCGGAGCAACAACTTCCAGTCTCACTCGCGTCCACCCTTTATAAAGACATAAGTTTTGAGATGGTGGAGAAGATTTGTAGCTCAGGTGGATGATTGTGGTGGTGTTTCGTTCTGTGAGCTGGATATTTCGGTTTTGAAGCTTTCATTGTTCTTCTAAACAACATCATCAGCACAAACTTCAGATAGACAAAGTGAAGTATTCGAATTTCTCCACGTTTGACCTGTAGGTTGTTCTCTTAACTTTGATCTTGATTGGTTACTGCTAACATTAAACCTGTTGTTGTTTGCACCTTTGTTTTGATTGTATTCCCCTTTTGATATGTTTCTTGATCCCATGTCACCTATCGTTTCTTTGATAGGTTGATAAATTGGGTCAATGTCTATGTTTTCGTTGATTGCTGATTGACCTGAGTGCTAAGCTTCTAAAAATTCTCTAGTATTCTTTGTGCTCTCCCTATCTAGTTTATTTCCACATTGTTTCAAACGAATATAGTATGTCCATATTCGTCGGTGTGTATTGATATAAGCGAAGCGTTATCGTGGTGTTTGACTGCTAATTGGTGTTCATGTACAGGAAGCTGAAGAGGCCGTCCACTTTATCCTATGTAGTGTTTTTTTCACAATCTGAGCAATTTATTTTGTAGATGATATTTTCTGTTTCACCGCTTTAGTTTTAAATTCCATTGCATTAATATTAAATTTTAAAAAAATTTTGTTTTATTTCATTTCATCTCCTAGATCATTTTATCATCCACAAAGTTTAATACTCTATCCAATTGAATTTTATAATCCATTGAAAAAATTGCACAATGCACATTATTGTCATTTAATTTCATCTAATTTATCATCGAATAAGAATTACTTCCTCTTCTCCTTCTTCATTCACAAGCCGCCAATATTATTTCTACAATCAATGGTTGATTTTTTGAAAAATTCCCAATTTAATTTTGTATACATTTTCATACTACTGATAGTAGTTTGTTATTTTTGTAAACATTTTCACAGATATTTCTATTGGCATTGTCGTCAACTTTGTTGTATTTCATGTTTTTGTATATATTCTGTGTACAATTCGATATGTTGTAGTGCATAGTTTATTTCAACTGTATAATCTATGGTTTACTTGTTTATTGAAGATATTCAGTAAGTCATCATCTTCAATTGTCACAACTACTACTACTACTAACAATAATAATAGTAATGATAATAATAATAATACTAAATTATCACCTGTAACATTTTATGAAATTGCACAACAGAACAAATCTACTATACATATATCTGTGCAAAGGTGATAGTAAATTTAGTAATCGGTTGTTTGGTCAATGGATTATTTATTCTATCGATTTATTTGACGGATGATATTGATTTGTCGGTTTCAGCGTTTCATGCAGAACTTCACTTGCACATCAGTTGCGTTGAATATGAATTCTGTTTTATTTTTCTTTTTTCAGAAACTGTATAAATTTTTTTATTTCTTTTCTATGTGTATCAACATGTGTTCAGTGTATAAAAGATCATACATTGTTTTTTGTTAATATAATGTTTGTCTGTGAATAATGTGGTATTTATTTTAAGTAGTAAATATTGAGTAATCGAACGATTTTCATCAACATTGTTTTTTATGGTTCATGCAACCATAGTTGTTCACATTACCACACATATATGGAGTAGAAATATTTCGGCATCAATAATGTTTCATTACTGATGTAAGTCAGGATGAAATTGAGCTGCCTAACAGAATGAGGATTGTGGTGGAATATTGAAAAACTGTCTTGGATTAGTAAAATATGAATATAGGTATATATTCAAGTGATGAACAATTGTTAGCTTCGGTTGAAATTTCGAAACAACTTAAATTCGTAGTAAAAACATCATTCTGGTACAAAATTATGAAACTTACTGATACATTATAACTGAACGGATAGGAAATGTATCGGCGGATAACGTTATGTTTAATTATAACATCTCAGCCACTAATTCATTTTTGAAGACGTTTGCTTAGACCAAAACTCTTGTCATTACACGCTCAATTGTCACACCTTAACATCTAGCCAAGACCAACATCAAAACACGCTACAATCGTGATAAAATGTTTTATGACGATGTACCAAATGGTGTTCCTGTATCATTCATCAAGTACTACTGTGGTGCTGAATTTACATTAGTCTGCTTACAACTACTGTTCAGCCTATATGTTTACTATATTGCTTATCTGTCTATTTGCAAAACGTCGTATGCATTCAATCTCACTACGTTTGGTTTATGAATACAGTTGGAGCAGTAATCACGTAATTATTGTAAATCACATCATTCATGGATAAAAAATTCTTTGAATTGATGATAAATTAGGAATGCTGTTTTCTTGAAATCATGAATCAATCATTATTATTGAATCACCACTAGAAACCGCTGTGCATACATGACTCCTGCTCTTCACACAAATGAAAGCCAGGACATTCAGTCTTGCTCATGGCTGTTTGAACTCTGTACCACTGCATCGGCATCCAACTGTATTCATATCTAATTTTGACCAATATAATAAGGTTTTGCATAATCTCACCCATCTTCTTCGGTAGTTACTGCATACACCCAATCAGGGTTGAGCTTCTCACTGGTGGTCATGTCTCAAGTAAGAATCGTGCTAACAAATCGATAACAAATTCAACTAATTATATACTGCACTCGTTAGAAATACATTTTTTTCTTTTTGCAGAGAAAAATGGAATAATGGAATTCAAATAACCACTTAAAAAATTCACAACAATATGATACTGTAGTGAAGGAGAACACAGGTGAGGGCAACCGAATTGTATTCAACGAAAATTACAGAGTTACTCAGTAAAATCAAAAAAACCATATCGTAAACGGTTAACTTGCAAATCTTCAATCCACCATCAATCCATTGTCTGACATTTCACCACTGTTCATGCTATTTCATACAAATCCCATTGTTGTGTTCCCACTCTTCTTCCTTTCTCTTGATCTTCCCCCATCTTCTGTTGCCAGACATTAAGTTGACACTCGCGTCATATACTACTACTTATAAGTAACGCGCACCACAATACAAACATCACTTGACTATTGAACATAGGAAATAATATCCACAGAAAAAAAAGTTTAAAAAAACAAACAAACAAAACAATTAGATGTTTTGTACAAATTTAACCTTTTTATTTTTATTTTCAAAATTATTTACACAAACTACTAATCAATCAATCAATCAATCGATCAATCCGATGAATAAATAATATTCAATTAAATCAAAAACATTCTACAATACTGACTGACAATAATAAGAATAAGAAGAATAAGAAGAGGAATAGTTTGTCTGATTTTATTTATTTTCTATGTTCAATGTACAAAACTTTCAAAAAGGAAATCATTGACTGATTGTAACGTTTTGTTTTTCTTAATATTGAACATATTGAATAGTAGATATATATTTTTGAAATAAAAACCATTGTTTGTTTGTTTGTCTTTTCGTTTTAAATTGAGTACATTAATGAACCGAACATGGTTTGTATGAGATTCATGTAACGACTACTACAATATCAATGATAAATTTGAATTTCACGAATTCATAAGTTCTCATTCATTGGTTGTATTTGTATTTTATTCTACAGAACGTCGAGATGCTGTTCAGGAAAATTAAAACAACACTATTGTCGATCGCGTTTAAAATATTACGCATTAATTGACTGAGTAACATTTTTAACATTCTGTAATTGTAAAAAGTAATGAATTGTAACATTTCATTTGTTATCTAATAATATAATCTGCAATTAATCATGTACTTCTTATTTGATCAATCAATGAATATCAGAGAAATAGAATAGCTCAATGCATTCAGCGATAACACACTTAATCAAATTTCATTGTTCTATCTTCACGTGAACAGGTTACTATTATTATTATTCAATGATGAATACATAAAAAATCATCAGGTCAAAATAGATGTGATGCGAGAGAATTGAATGATCATGAAACGAAACAATATTGTAATTGTACAGCCTTGACTAGATCTCTGTTGAATGTGGTATATCAGTATGATTACTGTTTTGCATTGTTCAACAATTCTCGATAATGTGCATTAAAGTAGATCTTTCTTCATCTTTGTTCAATTGATAAAATCATCCAAGTGATTGATATTCATCAGATTTCAATAAATAGATTTCGAAATAAATTGCAAACTATGTCTTATCATATTGGATTTGATGTGATGACATACATCGATCATAGGTTTCTACATTCAGGCTAAATAATGTGGAATAAAAAAGGGAACCAACAGAGTTGTTACATAATGTGTATTAACTATTTGTTTTCTAATCAACAACAGTTTTGTTGTAAACAATTTCTTATCAGTGTAAAAACATGAAAGGTGAGGCCCTTGTGTGTTTGCTTATTGGTCATCTTACAAAATTCTATCACGAACTACTCCAGATTTTAAGTTCTACACTCAGACAGAATATCTGATGCTACTCATTAATGACAACAGAGCATTCTTACAGTAAGTTTCTAGTCGAGATTAAATTCAACACTTATTAAGGCTTGAGGAAAATCTCTTCATTCACAAAACATATAGATGGGATTTATTTCATCTGACTATTCAAAATCTCTACAGTGATTTATTTATTTCAACAAAAAATGAGGGTCCTGCTAGTGAGTTGGACGAGTCCAGCATTAGATCTCGATTTACCAGGTAGGGCACTGTCATTGACGTGTGCTGGTATGAGACGGTCAATGCTGACTGTGTCTATCAACCTTGAAGGTCTTTTCGTGACGAGAGATCACGTGAATAGGTCCTTCGTAAGGTTGTTGATTACCGAATCTACTCTTAAGAAAACTTGCGGACAGGTGAATAACTCTCGAGGGAGAGCGACCTGTCGATGTTATATTCGAGTTCACACCGGAGTCAGTATTCGCATCTACGCAGATAGTTGTTGGACGTTATCTGATATACCTAAAATCGCTGCTCCGTGGTGTGAAAAAATTCCCCAGGCAGATGCAATGTCGTGCCGTATACTAGTTCGGAGGCGGAACATTGGATATCTGCCGTTGCTGCTCCGTAATCGCCACGTCGTCTCCAATAAATGCCATCTTTCTGCGAGCTGAGTGAAGAGAGGAATCTTAAGAACTGTGAGAAAGACGAATTAGTACATATAGCAAGTAAACTGTCAAACTCAGGCTTAGCGAAAACTAAGTTGTCCAGTGCCAGTCGTCGAGGTTTTACCATGACTGGGGGTCTGCAGGTGGCGATGTGGCTTACGACATTATTAAACACCAGTTGAATCTCCACGGTTGCGTTACTTTGAGGAATTTATCGAATATAACATGAAATAAATAGTAATGCAAAAAAAATTCGGTACATATCTGTTTGCGCGTTAAAAACCATGGATTTGATATTCGACGAAGTATCGAATAATGTAAGGGATCGATACCGAATATGGCTATGGGAACATCAGAAGGGATGAACGTCCATAGATACTGTCATCGGTTATTCAGGTTGATAGTTAGCTGTCGTAAACCGTAGGTAGGAATGACAGAGCCATTCGCAGTGCATGGTCGAAGCATCGTAGCTTATGACCTACTGCTACCAAACGATACGACCGAAACTTGGGCACTTGTGGCCACCAAATACCTAGCGTTAGTGCAAAAATCGAGCTCGTAAAACAAACTATCAACCTGAAGTGACGGTGAGGAGACAGGTGAGATTGAAATGACCTGTACCTCGGAGTCTATGATTATAGCCATCTACCATTTCTAAAGGTTGTTGCAAGTATAATATAAATTAAAGACATTATTCATAGCATTGCAACATTATAAAAATGGTGATAGATGAATAAAAGACTCACCGTTATTGACTTCTTTTGGAAAAAACGTCGGTATCATCATTGAATTTGCTGATCATAGAAAGATTGAAAAAGCGAAAAATCATATCGCTCCTATAATCAGATGCAAAGTTCACATTTTCTGTCCATCGATCTCGCTATTCAAATGATTCACAGTTATTACAGTATGTTTACCACAAACTGGCTAACTGTGTGTGCATGATTAGATCAGTTTGAATCTGATTATGTGGTTGTGTCAATGTATGTATGTGCACAATATCATATCTTGTGTGCATTGAGTATTTTGTTAATGACAGTGTACTATTGTAGAAATGTTTGATAGTGCGAAGAAATGAAATTGCGTAGTGTGACTACGTGGAAGGAGTAGTTTATGAATTATGAAATAAATGTTACTATAAAGTAATATCACAATGCGTAACAATTTGAATTTGAGGCGCACTTTTTGACTGTATGCAAGTCACTTCTTCAGAGTAAATACATAGATAACTCACACAAATAATGTTTTAGATGAAAATTAAAATCGTGATAGGTTTCATCCTGTTTTCAATAAACCTTTTCAATTAATAATGTAACATTATTATACCTAATTACTTGAGAACATTCGAAGCAAATGTAACTTTGCGTGTTTTAGCAAACATTTTTATAGGAAACTGCAATAACTGGAAAAATTTAAGCCAACTATGTTCGTCAACTGACACAATATCTGCTGACACAATAGTTTATCATGCACCTATCTAAATCATTCAGTGATTGTTTGTTCAAAAAAGTCTGTTTATCGGAAATACTGAAATGAAAAGTAAGGATTTTTTTATTCGGTAAACTATTGTGACAATTATTTTATAATCATAGTGACTGAGTTCTTTGTTTCGCAAGTACAGTTGATACAGATTTCAATGAATTAGCATTCAGTACACAATAATAGTCATGTGGTTCGAATGTGTAAAAATACAAACCTCCAAAACTATATTTTGTAGATATGACTTCGTCGTTTTGTGAAAATTAATATTTATGACTGTAATTGATGAGCCTCGGTTTTATGATGTGTATCTCTAGTGATTGGTCTAATAGCATTATGCTATCAGTATTGTAGGATCCAAACTGATGTTTGGACTGAGGAATAACTGTCTAGGTAGTTTAGATACGCGCCTTGCCCAGCTTCAAACCAAAACAAGTGATTTGGGTAAATGACGGTTTTAATATTCATCATTAATATGAATATACATCATTACCTAAACAAATATTACCGCTCAGTTATTCCACCAACAATTGTTCAATTAATCAAATCAACAGAAACACATAACTGATATTCTATCCCTCATTGATAAATCGATTTCGTTCGACAGATAATATTTGGTTACTTTATAATACAGAGAGTGCTTGTTTTTCTGGAAGAGTGCTCCAATTCACAATCAAAGTGCACAATTCCAGTCAGTGCAACCGACCCAATCAAAAGAGGAACAAATCAATATGGCTGTCGCCATGACTAAGTATCCGCTTAAACAACATAAATGCAGTTCAGAAGGAAATGTAGAAACTATAATAAAATGCAAATATTATCATCTCAACATGGAATTGAACAGACTACACAAAATGTACAACTGAAAGAATGAATAAGGACAAATTACAAATGTTTACATACAGGGATTTTCATAAACGAAACCTTCACAAAGTGGATCTTACAGTATATTACATCAGTCATGTACATGGGCATTGCCATTCAAGCAAATTGATTGCATCTGATCGATAAGTGCGAATGATATTTTCATGATTTATTTAGGTGCAGGTATTCCATCAGCGTCTGAACTCTATGAATATCGGAGCAACAACTTCCAGTCTCACTCGCGTCCACCCTTTATAAAGACATAAGTTTTGAGATGGTGGAGAAGATTTGTAGCTCAGGTGGATGATTGTGGTGGTGTTTCGTTCTGTGAGCTGGATATTTCGGTTGTGAAGCTTTCATTGTTCTTCTAAACAACATCATCAGCACAAACTTCAGATAGACAAAGTGAAGTATTCGAATTTCTCAACGTTTGACCTGTAGGTTGTTCTGCTAACCCCGATCTTCATTGGTTGCTGCTAACATTAAACCTGTTGTTGTTTGCACCTTTGTTTTGATTGTATTCCCCTTTTGATATGTTTCTTGATCCTATGTCACCTATCATTTCTTTGATAGGTTGATAAATTGGGTCAATGTCTATGTTTTCGTTGATTGCTGATTGACCTGAGTGCTAAGCTTCTAAAAATTCTCTAGTATTCTTTGTGCTCTCCCTAACTAGTATATTTCCACATTGTTCTAAACGAATATAGTATGTCCATATTCGTCGGTGTGTATTGATATAAGCGAAGCGTTATCGTGGTGTTTGACTGCTAATTGGTGTTCATGTACAGGAAGCTGAAGAGGCCGTCCACTTTATCCTATGTAGTGTTTTTTTCACAATCTGAGCAATTTATTTTGTAGATGATATTTTCTGTTTCACCGCTTTAGTTTTAAATTCCATTGCATTAATTTTAAATTGAAAAAAATTTTATGTTTTATTTCATTTCATCTCCTAGATCATTTTATCATCCACAAAGTTTAATACTCTATCCAATTGAATTTTATAATCCGTTGAAAAAATTGCACAATGCACATTATTGTCATTTAATTTCATCTAATTTATCATCGAATAAGAATTACTTCCTCTTCTCCTTCTTCATTCACAAGCCGTCAATGCTATTTCTACAATCAATGGTTGATTTTTTGAAAAATTCCCAATTTAATTTTGTATACATTTTCATACTACTGATAGTAGTTTGTTATTTTTGTAAACATTTTCACAGATATTTCAATGGCATTGTCGTCAACTTTGTTGTATTTCATGTTTTTGTATATATTCTGTGTACAATTCGATATGTTGTAGTGCATAGTTTATTTCAACTGTATAATCTATGGTTTACTTGTTTATTGAAGATATTCAGTAAGTCATCATCTTCAACTGTCACTACTAATACTACTAACAATAATAATAGTAATGATAATAATAATAATACTAAATTATCACCTGTAACATTTTATGAAATTGCACAACAGAACAAATCTACTATACATATATCTGTGCAAAGGTGATAGTGGATTGAGTAGTTGGTTGTTTGGTCAATGGATTATTTATTCTATCGATTTATTTGACGGATGATATTGATTTGTCGGTTTCAGCGTTTCATGCAGAACTTCACTTGCACATCAGTTGCGTTGAATATGAATTCTGTTTTATTTTTCTTTTTTCAGAAACTGTATAAATTTTTTTATTTCTTTTCTATGTGTATCAACATGTGTTCAGTTTATAAAAGATCATACATTGTTTTTTGTTAATATAATGTTTTTCTGTGAATAATGTGGTATTTATTTTAAGTAGTAAATATTGAGTAACCGAACGATTTTCATCAACATTGTTTTTTCTGGTTCATGCAACCATAGTTGTTCACATTAACACACATATATGGAGTAAAAATATTTCGGCATCAATAATGTTTCATTACTGATGTACTTACTTACTTACTTACGTCTGTTACCCCCAATGGAGCATGGGCCGCTCACCAGTTTTCTTCAATCAACTCAATCCTGTGCTTCCCTCTCCAGTTCTGTCCAATGTTTGTTCATTCCTCTCATATCTTTCTCTATTTCTCGGCGTAGTGTGTTCCTTCGCCTTCCTCTTTTCCTTTTGCCTTGAGAGTTCCATGTGAGGGCTTGTCTCGTGACGCAGTTAGGTGCTTTCCGCAATGTGTGTCCTATCCACTTCCAACGCTTCTTCCTGATTTCCTCCTTCACTGGAATCTGGTTTGTTCTCTCCCACAGTACGTTGTTGCTGATCATGTCTGGCCAACGAATCCGAAGTATTTTGCGTAGACAACTGTTAATAAACACTTGTATCTTCTGGATGATGGCTTTCCTAGTTCTCCAAGTTTCCGCTCCATACAGTAGAACTGTCTTGATATTTGTATTGAAAATCCTGATTTTGGTTTTAGTTGGCAGTTGTTTGGAGTTCCAGATATTTTTCAATTGTAGAAATGCAGCCCTTGCTTTGCCGATCCGCGCCCTCACATCTACATCGGATCCACCTTTCTCGTCGATGATGCTGCCAAGATATGTAAGGGTGTTAACGCCCTCCGAGGCATCTCCATCAAGAGTGATTTGGTTGGTGCATGTTGTGTTGCATCGGAGAAATTCGCTTTTTCCTTTATGTATGTTGAGACCTACTGCTGCAGAGGTTGCTGCTACACTGGTCGTCTTCTCTTGCATTTGTTGTTGCGCATGTGATAGAATAGCTAGGTCATCTGCGAAGTCCTGCTGCGTCCTAGCTGTCCAGTTGATACCGTGCTTCCCTCCAGATGTCGACGTCTTCATAATCCAGTCGATGACCAGGAGAAAGAGAAAGGGTGAGAGTAAGCAACCTTGCCTGACACCAGTCTTCGCCTCGAAAGAGTCTGTTAGCTGTCTCCCGTGTACGATTTTGCAGTTGAATCCATCATAAGAATTGTGTATGATGTCAACTATTTTCTCAGGCACACCGTAGTGTCGAAGAAGCCTCCACAGTGTTTCCCTATCCACGCTATCGAATGCTTTTCCGTAGTCGATGAAGTTGATGTAGATTGGTGAGTTCCATTCAATTGATTGTTCCACGATGATCCGTAATGTTGCGATTTAGTCAGTAGAACCGCTCTCAAGCCCGGATAAAGGAAGAGGGTTGGACATGGGGTTGGCGTCCCCATTCCGTCGAAATCTCACTTGCCAAAAAAACGCTAACCGAAAAAAAATAATTCAAACCATTACCGATGTAAGTC